TTTAATACACCTCTGCTTGGGGAGAAAGTCTAGTTCATTGCTACTGCCAAGAGCTAGTTCCTGTGTTCATATAGTAACTGCACAGTGCTTATGGCTGCTTCATTCTGTTACTTTGTAACCAGGAGCCATTGCATTTATTAAATGTCCCTCAGTAATGTAAGTGCTAGTTGTGATTTTATACATAAAGGCCAGAAGCTGTCCGAGGTAATCATGATTTATCCTATGTATCACTTACTGAAGAATACCTGAAGCGATCATGTAACTGGTTAGAATATCCATTGGTTTTTGATTACATGGGTAAATAATTTGTCATTAAACTTGTGTTTGAATCATGAATTTCCCTTCCGTGTTTCAAAAGACTTCCAGCTAATCTAAAAAACTGGTGATATTTAATACGCATGTATCTAAATGCCCACATATATTTGTGGTTTAAATGTGAGAAATCTTGCTAATCTATGTGCCACAGAAGAGCAAAATTTTATCCAAATTTACACCTCTTAAAATTTCTTTACCATGAGGGATAGAGAATGCATGATGGCTTTTTAAAATTTGCCCGTATAATTGGTAATGGGTCATAACTCAATAAATTTGTGTGATATAAAAGTAGTGTATCATGTTCTACCATTTGATCTTATTCCTTCCCTTTTCTGCAAAGGTACTATTGGCTTGAAGAAAAACATTTTGGGTAGCTTTTTATGGCAGTAGTCTTTCCCTTTATAGTTTTTCTATAAAAACTGGTTTTAAAATCAGTGGAAGAGGGCAGGTTGAATCAAGGTGACTGAATCTGAAATTGAGCACACCTGCCTGCCATCGCTGTTCCTTCAACTGAGTGCTGCACATCATGGGCTCTGTCTGTGAGAGAAAAATCCCGGTGCTTGGTGTCCTTGCATGACATGGAGTTTTGCATGTAGATCAATTTAAAATGTAACTCTTGTTTACATAATTTGCATAATTTTAAAAGATAAAAGTTGCCAAACTTTGGAAACGTTAATGTTCATTCAGACTGAAAATCTCCACTACATGTAACTTTCTTCCTCTGGATCAGTGGCATGGCTTATAATCCCAGCCAGTGGTTTGAACTGTTCCAGTGTCAACTGCCATGTGCTCTGCTTCAAGGGGGAACTAGTCTTTTGTGAATTTTTTGTACATAAGTATTTGTTACAAATATTTTAGCAAATGCTTTCTATTTCTCTTGCTTGTGCATATCTTGGCTGGCGTTACAAAAAAAAAAAAATAGTGCAAACATTATTTCCTTACTGGGGAATGAGGGTTCTTCCTTTTTTTTTTTTTTTTTTTTTTTTTTTTTTAGTTTGTGTGTGGGGGTGGACGAGGGAGGGGACAGTTTAGTTTTTCTTCTGCATGATACGTCATGTTGTGGGATCTTTAGAAAACTTCATACTGTATGAATAAGAAAATAAAATATTTGAAACTTGCTTGAATGTATTCAGAGGTCTTTGATGTCCTTCCATAACAAGGAGTGGCATTTTCTCCCTAGTCCTTTAAATTCTTAAAAAGTCTGATAAAGTGACATTTAATCTTTCTATAAAAACCTACAAATTCCTGTAGTACTCCCTGCTGCCCCCATGAATTCCCTTACTACTCACCCTCTCTTTGCTCCAGCCCTGGTAGCCTCCTCTGGTACTTGGAGTCTTGGGTTTGCGTCTGTCTTAGGCCTTTGTGCTATCTGTCCCTTTCTGCTCCTTTTCCTTCCCCATATCTCATAGTTAATGCCTTCACAGATGTTTGTTCAGTTACGCCCTAGCTCAAAAGGAATTGTCCTGGCTACCTTATTTAAAAATACAGATATGCTTGGCTCTGCTTTCCTCTATTACAATTTTTCCTTCTTTGGGGGCATTTATCTTTTTCTGATAAGGTTTATTTACGTATTTTGTCTTCCCTGACTACTGAATAAAACAAATGAAAACTCCACAAGGGTAGTGGTTTGTTTCTTGTTCACTGATAGCCCCAGCCTAGTTGTCCAGAATTTTAGTGTTTACTCAGTAAGTACTTAATAAATTAATTTGATACCCTGTTTATGTAGGTTGTGATTTTATAATAAATACTATTCAGTACTTTGCCATTGCTTAAGAAGTAAAATCGGTATTTTTTTGAGATTTCATTTATTCATTAATTTGGCCTTCATTTATTCAACTTTACAGTCCCTACTACATATTTGGCCTGTGCAATAGCACTTGAAATGCTCCTGCCAATGACATCCCTGGCCGAGATGGGTTGAGGATGTTTTACATCCAAAACGTCTGTATTGCCAGGTATGCACTATTTGCAATGGGTTCTGTGACTTCTTAAAATATACCGGGGTATAGCTGCGTGTGGTGGCGCATGCCTGTAATCACAGCTACTCTGGAGGCTGAGGCAGGGAATTCCTTGAACTGGGAGGTGGAGGTTGCAGTGGGCCGAGATCACACCAGTGCATTCCAGCCTGGGCAACAGAGTTGAGACTCATCTCTTGCCCAGGCTGGAGGGCAAAAACCATCACAGTAGTAAAGGTTTGTTAAGCCTAAGCAAGTAGACAGATTTAAGCACTCGAGCTTTTTTTCTTCTTTGAGACAGGGTCTTGTTCTGTTCTGGGCTGGAGTGCAGTGGCATGATCACAGTACACTACAGTCTCAATCTCTTGGTGTCAAGCAGTCCTACCTCAGCCTCCAGAGTAGCTGGAACCACAGACGCATGCCAGTGCTTGGCTGTTTTTGTTTTGTTGAGACAGGGTGTTGCTATGTTGCCAGGCTGGTTTTGAACTCCTGGGCTTAAGCAGTCCTCCCACCTTGGCCTCCCAGTGTCAGGATTACAGGCTTAAGCCAGCACACCCAACTCTTTTTTTTTTTTTAAACCTTCTAACAGTTTTAAAAGTAGACAAGATGACTATCCAAGGAAACCCCATGGGTCTCCTCCCTTGTCAGCCACAAATCCCTAAGAAAATGCTCTTCTCTCAGGCCCATTCCCCTGGCAATGTATCAGTGAATATATATATGTAAAGTATATGTCAGGAATTGTACCAGATATTGAGTATCCAAAATCATAAGAGGCCTTAGGATGGCAGGCAGACACGGTAATTACAATGTAGCTTGACAAGTGCCATAGAAACATAAGGTTGGAAGTATTAGACTTAGTTGCCTTGGCCTTAGAGAAGGGTTTAATTGAAGGTATCTGATCCAGGTTGTTAAGATCAACTGTCAGTATGATAGTCAAATTTCTTACCTCTACTACTTTCCATCCCAAGAGTTAGTTGAGTTTCCCTCTAACATTTTCTCTCCCTTTCAAAAGCCCCAAGTAGTACTACTACTTCTGGGAAACAGGAGATACAAGCACTTAATTAAGTGGGGTGGGGAAGCAAAGCAAGTTCTTAAAGCTAAGTTCAGCATTCCAAATCTTAGCAGCTGCTAGGAAAATATATTTGCTCCCTTGTATTACAGTTGTAATTACACAAGAAGTAATAAAGGATAAAGGAAGTAATTTGGACAATACCAAAATGTTTCCTTTTAATACAGAGAACCTGTATTTTCCCAATTGAAATGCTTTTAAGTTCCTGCCTCTGTTCCTTGAAAGTTGATTCAAAACATTTATGGTTACCTAGCAATGGTTCAATGCAGTCCAACTGCTTGGAAAACCTGATTGAAGGCATGGACCCATTCCCCAGGAAAGTATACTAAGTAGTCACAATTTTGAATATAACTTCCTGGGTGAAGGATGAAGGTAGGCAAGTATCTCTGGAAACTGTACAGACTCAGAATAAAAAAGTCCCAAGTATTTGTCTTTTACAAAAAGGTATGAGTAAAGGGATCTGATATCACTGTACACATCCTTGCTCCATGCTGGTGTTGCCAAAGGATAAAAAATAATAATTTGAGGTGGGACATATTCAGCAATTTTCAGTTAGATTCTCAAGTATTTTGCAAAAGAAGCATAAATGAACAAATTTCCCATGCACTGTACAAACTATCTTATTAAACAGTGGCACATTTAGCTGATACAAAGGAAACAAGCTTAACAATGTTTTAGTTCTTACGTGAACTTTCTAATACCCCCATCACCGAAGTTTACATGTTTTCATCAAGGGTTTTAGAGATAAACGAGAATTATCAAAGTCATGTTTAATTAAGTCGCTTCCATTTTACAATGCATAAAATAATCATATACTATTTAAACAGGCAGAAATGAGCTAATCTGCATTTATGGAACATAAGTTTTTTTGGGTGAGAAAAACATTCTTTTATCATTTCACCTTTACTACTTAGAGGAAACAGACTTAGGATGGTTCTAACTTATTTTTCAATTTTAGAATTATTCAGTGGAAGCCATACTCCAAGTACCAACACAACCATTCTGTTTTTCACTTTCAGTGTAATCTTCAAAAATTACATGAGATACTCAACAATATTATAAATAGGCTTTGTATTAGACAATTTTGCCCAACTGTAGGCTAATGTAGTGTTCAGAGCACTTTTAGGGTAGGCTAAGCTATGATGTTCAACTTTTGGTATTTTCAACTCACAGTGGGCTTATCTGGACATAAACCCATCGTAAGTTGAGAAGCATCTGTATATCTAACATTGGTTATGTATACTTTAAATGCTCATTTTAAAAATAAAACATTATTCACATCAACCCTGTGATATCGTTCAGTTTTTAAAACTGCAAAACAGGTTCCAAGATGAGCTCTTACTTACTCATACAGTATAATACAGGCAAAACAACTGCTTATGACCTCTCAAATATTCACAAATCAAGGCTGGGCACGGTGGCTCATGCCTGTAATCCCAGCACTTTGGGAGGCTGAGGCAGGGACGCCTTAAGGTCAGAAGTTCGAGAACAGCCTGGCCAACATGTGAAACCCTATCTCTACAAAAAATTAGCTGGGTGTGGTGGTGAATGCCTGTAGTCCCAGCTACTAGGGAGGCTGAGGTAGGAGGATCACCTGAACCCACAGGGTAGAGGTTGCTGTGAGCTAAGATTGCATCACTGCACTCCAGACTGGGTGAGAAAGTGAGTGAGACCCTGTCCCCCCAACAAAAAATTACTCATATCACCCTGTATTAAGGAGGGGCCATCATTCAAAGAGGTTTTTCTAAGATAATCTATTAAATTACAATTTATAAAGAAGAAATGTTTATAAATTTTTATGAAGTTACGAATTTATAAAAGTATAAATTCACATAGAGCTGTTTAAACAAGAAGTTTCCAAGAGGATTATAAACTATTCAATCTGCTACATGTGATTTCAAAGAAATGATAAATTATATCTAATGTGTAGGTATAATAATAGAATCAATTTTTGATATTTAAATTATCCTAAAACCTATTCAGTGTGAATACGCTTAAACCTTTCTTTTCTGTTTATGCTTCTGGCTGAGGACGGAAGAAAGGATGGAGGCTTCAAATGACTGCAATTCTTCAGACGGTGTCTTGTGACCACTTGTAAAGTATTTTTCTCCAGAGTCCAAAGGCTAGATAAAAAGTCTCTGACTTGAAATCAGAATCGATCTGCTGATCTGCTAGCCACAGCTCGAATATTGCCATAAACCTTGGAAGGAGGATTACCTGCAAAGCGGGGAGAAAAAAAGTATATATACAAGTAGACTCACATTTACAGAGCCTACAGCTATCCCTCAGTGTCTAAGGAAGACTGGTTTCAGGACTCCCACAGACACCACAATCCTTGGATGCTCAAGTCTCATATATAAAAAATAGGCACATTAACTACATACATCCTCCCATATACTTTAAATCATCCTTAGATTACTTATAATACCTAATATAATGTAAATGCTATGTAAATAGTTAATACTGTATTGTTTTAAAATCTGTATTATTTTTTGCCATTATTATTATTTTTTTCTGAGTCTCTGATCTGCCGTTGGTTGGATCCGCAGATGTGGACCTTGCAGATACAGACGGCAGACTGTACATGAAAAAGGGTCTAGAACCCTAAAAAGAACAGAACAGAGACATTTTAATTGGAAATTACAAAAAAAAGAACCTTAAAGGAAATAATACCCAAATATTCTCCAAAAACTTTTTATTTATTTATTTATTTTTTTTTTGAGACGGAGTTTCACTCTTGTTACCCAGGCTGGAGTGCAATGGCGCGATCTCGGCTCACCGCAACCTCCGCCTCCTGGGTTCAGGCAATTCTCCTGCCTCAGCCTCCTCTGGGATTACAGGCACACGCCACCATGCCCAGCTAATTTTTTTGTATTTTTAGTAGAGACGGAGTTTCACCATGTTGGCCAGGATGGTCTCGATCTCTTGACCTCGTGATCCACCCGCCTCGGCCTCCCAAAGTGCTGGGATTACAGGCGTGAGCCACCGCGCCTGGCCCCCAAAAACTATTTTAAACTTCTAAGAGCAAAAAGCACTGAGTTGTCAAAATATTTAAAAAAGAAGCCAATCACTGAGACCCGGGAACCACGTTTTCTGAGCAAGCCGCTAAGATACTGTACCTTATCAGAAGATACTGACTTTGCTGCAGGATCAAGAAAATGGATTAAGTGGGTCAATTAAATTGCCTGAAGCTTTTCAGCAGCTCCTTTGTTGAACCTAAAATGTGACATTCCCTTCTGTTCTAGAATGGTTTTTCTCTGTATCTTATCAGGAAAGCAGCAAAGATTTAAGCAATATTACCCAATAAACACTTTCTCTTCTCTTACAGACAAATGGAATCTAACCAAAAATATTTCTACTTCTGGTCTGGCGCGGTGGCTCATACCTGTAATACCAGCACTTTGGGAGGCCAAGGAGGGCGGATCACAAAGTCAGGAGTTTGAGACCAGCTTGGCCAATATGGTGAAACCCCGTCTATACTAAAAACATAAAAATTAGCTGGGCGTGATGGCATGCACCTGTAGTCCCAGTTACTCAGGAGTCTGAGACAGGAGAATTGCTTGAACCTGGGAGTCAGAGGCTGCAGTGAGCCAAAATCGTACCACTGCACTCCAGCCTGGGTGACAGAGCAAGACTGTCTCAAAGGAAAAAAAAAAATTCTGATTCTTTCTGTAGGCCCACATTTGCCATCTCCCAAGGGTGTCTACTTGCTATCTTTAATATTACCCTAATTACCCTAAACTGCTTTGCAAATGTAGTTTGACTTCCGAAATTAAAACGACACTGAAAGAAACTGCTATTACCCAATATTAGGTTGCAAATGGCAGTTCTTGCCATCTTGATGTTTTGGAAGGAGCCAAGGATGTGAACTTTCCTGAAAGAAATAAAATGAGACAAATTAGTGGCTGAGATGCCATGACTCATACCTGTAATCCCAGCACTCTGGGAGGCCAAGGTGGAAAGATCGTTTGAGGTCAGGAGCTTGAGACAAGCCTGGACAACATAATGAGACCCCATCTCTACACAAAAAACAGCTGGACATAGTAGCACGTGCCTATGGAGTGCCACTACATGCCAACCTGAGTGACAGCAAAACCCTCTTTAAACAACAAAAGACACATTATAAACAAAAAAGCATTTCCTTACCTAAGTCCTGTACTCCAGAAATGCTGGCAATGGCAGCACAACTCCACAAATATACTCAAAACCACTTTTTAAAAGGGTGAATTTTATGGTATATGAATTGTATCCCAATAAAAAATTATTTGCAAAGACAATTTTTTTTAAAAGTCAAGTCTGTGAAGATTCTTAGTTAATGATGGCTCCCAGCCTGCTTCTTTGCATGCCCTCATTTAATCCTCACATGACCTTTATCAAGTGACGTTATTCCTGTTTTACAGATCAGGAAAGAAGTTGGTAAGAAATCAAAAAGTCTGCCCAAGACGACACTCTGGCAGAGCTGGTTAGTGAATACCCAGAAATACAGTACTGAACTCAATTTCAACACAATTGGTTTTCAACTGCAAAGTTTTCTAAAGATTATCTAAATTTCTTCAGGGGTCTGAGGATCATCCAGACCCTTTTAATGGGCATTCTTTACTGAATGACAAAACTGACAAGATACAATTTTGCCTTTTTGAGTCCATTTTCCAAACTGTTTTCACTGTGCCCTGTACAACAGTTATCAGCTAAAGCTTCTATATCTTCAACCCCTCTTAATATTCCCTTCACCTTCCGGTTTGAACTAAGGCCAGTTCTCAAGTGGTGGCCAGCTTTTCCTCCACAAACCAGGTATTCTCTGGGCCTGTGGGAGAAGCAGGTGCCTTGGCTCCTCATGCCACATCCAGACCACATGCTCTCCCTCCTGCCTCCCTAAAAACCCTCTGGCTTTGGATGTGCTCTCAGGCCACATCACCTACCACCCTGCTTGGCTGCGGTCCTCAGCTGCCCCTACAGATCGATCACCTGTGAAGAGGTCTGCTCCTGGGTCACTGTCTTTCTCTTGCTATTCCCATCACCAGGCTCGATCATGTCAATACCCACGAAGATGATAATCCCAATATGCCAGCCTCTCGGGTCCTTGATATCCTTTATGCCAACATGGGGTCTTGTTTTCCACCCTACTCCAGCCTGTTACATCCATGGTCACACCCTGAACTTGGTCAATACCAAAAGCTGCAACCCCTCATAATTTCAAACATCCAACTTTCTCTCTACCACTTCCTGTCATTCCAGCTCATATCAACACCAATAATCCTTTACTCCCACCAGGACCTCCCATCTATGGCTCCTACCTATCTTCACTGCCCCTCACCCCCTCACATCCCACCTCCCTTCCTCTATTCACAATCATCCAAAGAGTTTCTATTCACTCAGAGTAAAAGCCAAAGTCCTTATGATGACCGCAAGGCCTTATCTATCACTCTCCACTCTTCCTTTTGTACTCAGCCAAGCTCCTTGCTCACTGGCAACTGCCAGATGTGCCCTCAACTCAAGACCTCTGTGCTTTTCCCTTCCTCTGTAATGTTCTTCCTCCAGACACCTGCAGATGAACAGAACATTTACAGATGCTCCTTCCCCAAATTCCACTAAAATGACAATAAAAATATGAGAAGGAGAAAGTGATAACAGTAACAAAATCCAGAAAGATGGAAAGCAGATGGATGAGATGGAACTGACTGTGCAGACCCAAGTCAACTGATGTCAAATCAGCAGTGGGAATATCAAGCAGCAGAACTCCAGGACAGAGACTCCAGGAGTCAGGGTACTCTAACACAGAGGGGCCAAGGGCACAGGGAACCCAGGATGATGGCTGTGTAGCCAGAATGCAGGCAGAGAGCATGGGGGCGCTTTTGGAATAGATGTCTCCAGGAGAGGTTTCTCAAATATTAGATGCATTCGAACACATCAAGAGGAGATACAGGCAACATCTAGCTTCTTACTGAATCAGTACACTGAAAATGAAGAAAGCACACAGACACATAAGAGTTACTTCCTCAAGTGAAAACAATGCTGCAAAAGAAAGATAAGGCAGTAACAGTGTTTTACCTGGCTCAGCTGTAAGTACACTGAGCACTGACTTCTGTTTTCAGGTAATAGTGAACACTAATCTAACAAAAACCACAAGGGGACTATCAGGAGGACAGAGAAGAATAAATCAGGGTGTCAGAAAGGCTGAGTGTGTGTGGTGAAATAAGGGGGTGAAAGACAGCTAAATCTTCATTTTTCATGGTAGAAAGTCAATAGTGAATCTAAAAAATAAAACAAGAGGCTGTACATAAACATAATATCTGAAAATATAGAATAATTTAAGAATAGTTAAAATTGGTCAAAATTGGTTCCCCTGAAAAGGGTGAAATGGAGGTAGACAGCAAAAATTTTTGGCTTTTTCAAACTACGTGTATGTTTAACTTTGATTAAAATTATTTAAAATAGAGCATGAAAGATGAGGAAATAAAGACAACAAGAACAGATAAAGTGGGAATAGTTTTGCTGCAGAAAGAACCAAAGTAATGGGGCAATAGTTCGAAAGGAATGGAGGTTTCAAGACACACAGGCAACATCATTTCCCATCTGCTATACTAAATGTGCCTGGAACCAATTATTTTTAGTTTTCTATCTGGCTCACATTATATTTTGCCAGGTTATTAGCAACTCATCAAAAATAACATTTATAGGTACATAACAGCCCATCTTAACAGCTTTATTATAATTAATATAAACTGTTAAACATGGATTTTCTAACTAGCCTGTGTATAGCAAAAGCAAGAGACAGTACATCTCTTAATTTCAAGTAGTTTGTAATTCAGTTTGTAAGTAATTCAATAGCAACATTATTCATAATAGCCACAAACTGAAAACAACCCAAATATCCAGCAACTGTGAATGGATAAACAAAATGTAATACAGCTGACTTTTGGACAATGCAGGTTTGAACTGCATGGGTCCAGCTGAGATTTGAAAAAACCCACAGAGGAGCTGAGTATTGCAGAAATGTCCAAAAAATTAAGAAAAAGCTATGTCATGAATGTATAAATTGTATGTAGGTACCAGTCTATTTTATCATTTACTACCATAAAATATACACAAATTTATTATAAAAAGTTAAAATGCATCAAAACTTACCCACACAAACACAAACCATGTATGTTGCCATTTGTAGTCTAGAGAAATGGAAACAAATGCAAAGATGTGGTATGAAATCATAACTCCATAAAATTAACTGTAGTGCATACTGTACTACTGTAATAATTTCACAGCCACTGCCTATTGCTCTTGTGGTGACCTCAGGTGTTGTAAGTATCCACTTAAAATGCCATGTGATGCTGATCATCTCCCAGTTTTGACTCTCCAGTAAATTGTCTATCACGGTAAAAAGTGATCTCTCACAGTTCTTGCCTATTTTTAATCTTTAATGCAATATTGTAAGCTTTGAGTAACAACCTGGACCCACACGAAGCGCCACTAGTGCTGCTGGAAATGCTCCAAAGAAGCACAGAAGTCATGACAGTACAGGAAAAAGCTGAATTGCCTGATACATACTGTTGTCCGAGGCCTGCAGCCGCAGCTGCCTGCCACTTCAAGATAAATGAATCTACCATAGGACCACTGTAAAAAAAGGAAAAGGAAATTCATGAAGCTGTCACTGCAGCTACAACAGCAGATGTGAAACACCTGGCAGTTCTGCCAAATTCCCCTTTATCTTATAAAACAAAAATAAAGCCTCTAAGCAAGACAGAACAGACCATGGCAATAAAATATCAAATTGTAAACAAGACCTAAGACCACCCAGGCAAGGGTTAAGCCACACACCCTACACGTAAGGAGTAAACACTCTAACTGCCACAGATATTTTTCTTTTTCTCTGGCAGCTTACAAGCACTGGCCTTGTGATAAACAATATTAAAACAATTACAGCTCACCAATAGCTGGATACAGATTGACCCCAGCTTCCCTCTTCCCATGCCCTGTTCTACAAGCCATAACTACAGCTTTGAATGGACAAGAGACTTATTCCAGTAACATTCTCCTAATAAGAGGCCACTGACGATGGACTGGTTCTAACTGCTTCCAGAGGCAGTGTATTCAGTGCCTTCATGTCCCTGTCCCTACTTCATCTTGTAACATTCAGGGTCTAACTGTCATGTATTTTAAATGTTAAGTCTCCACCCCACGCCGACCAGAGGTTTTATGTTACATTTATTCAGTATTCATGTATTAGGACCTCTCTTATAAATATTCATAGCTCCTCCTATAACCTGTTAAATAAGTATACTTGGCTCACCCATTTCAGCATAAATCCCTGTCTCATCCTTTCCTTCTTCAAAGTGTCTGCTTTTGGTCTCTGCTGAAGGCTACACTTCCTAGCCTGTCAGAATAGCCACTCTGCACACTGCAACCCTTTATAAGAAATAAAGTTACCTCTCTGAATTTATAGATCTTGTGATTCTTTCGTTGACAATCTCAAATTGGAAATGTAGCTTTTATGTGGGTGCGGGATTGTTCTAAGAAGGACATGTCTATAGACTCTAATATGATTGAGAAAAAAATGAAGTCATTATGTGACAACTTACAGAAAAAGGAAAGTAAAAGATCTAAAGCTGGAAAACTTAATGCCAGCAAAGGATGGTTTGATTATGTTAGAAACAGGGGGCTTTAAAAATGTCAGGCTAACAGAGAAGCAGCTTCTGGTCACCAAGGGGCAGCAGACGAGTTCCCAGATGCCATTACAAAAATCATTGAGGAGAAATAGCATCTGCCTGAACGGGTTTGTAGTGAACATGAAAAGTGTCCTGTTGGGGAAAAAAAAGTCACAAAAGGCAACTATTACTAAAGAAGAGAAGGAAGCACCAGGATTTAAGGCAGGAAGGGAGAGGCTAACTTTACTGTTTTGTGTAAATGCACTCAGGTTTATGATCAGGACTGCCTTTATCTATAAAGCTGCTAACCCCAATCCTTAAAGGGAAAAGGCAAACATCAGTGGCCTGTCTTTTGGATGTACAAGAAGGCTTGGACAAAGAGAGCTCTTTTTCTGGATTCATGTTGAACTCATGGGGTTCTGGGTGGCTGGGAGAAGAAGGCAACAAAGTTGTCTCCTTGCCCCTAAATAATTCAGCCTCCAGATCAGGTAGTCATGAAGACCTTTAAGGTTCATTACACACAGTATTCTATGAAAAATGCTGTCAATGATATGGAATAGAACTTGAAAGAAATAACATAATAAAAGTCTGGAAGGACTAAGCTACTGAAGACACTGTCATGGAAAAGCTGTGAAAGCCTCACGCCTGCAACTATAAATTTCTGCTGGAGAAGGACGTGTCCAGAGGTTTTGTATGACATTACAGGATTTATGACAGAGCCAACCAAGAAATTATGAAAGAGACTGTGGATATGGCAAAAAGTGAGGGGTGAAGGGTTTCAAGATATGGATCTCAGAGAAATTCAAGAGCTAACAGACACCGCACCAGAGGAATTAACGGAAGACAACTTGATGGAGGCGAGTGCTTCCAAAGCAGTGCCAGGTGACGAGGAGGAGGATGTAGAAGCAGCAGTGTCAGAAAGGGTGACATTAGACGATTTGGCAGAAGGTTTCTGATTATTCAAGATTCTTTTGATGTCTTTTATGACAGATCCTTTTATGATATGGGCACTGAAACTAAAACTGTGGAGGAGGATTGGTACCCCATAGAGAAGTGAAAGGATAAAAAAGTCAGAAATTATAATGTATTTCCATAAAGTTCCAGAGTATGCCTGCCTCTTCTGCCTCCCCTTCCACATCTTCCACCTCTGCCACCCATGAGACAGCAAGATTAATCCCTCTTCCTCCTCCTCCTCCTCCTCGGCTTGTTCAACATGAAAACAAGGATGGAGACCTTTAGGATGATCCACTTCCACTTTATGAGTAGTAAATCGATTTTCTCTTCCTTATGATTTTTAGTAACATTTTCTTTTCTTAGCTTACTTTATGAAAGAGTGCAGTATATAATACAAATACCATACAAAATATGTGTTTATCAATTATTTGTTATGGGTATAACTTCCAGCCAGCAGCAGTACTTAAGTTTTGGGAGAGTCAAGTCATATATGGGTTTTCAACCATGTTGGAGGTTCAGCATCCATAATCCCTGGAATACTCAAGGATCAACCGTATACCTATGCAATGAAATAGTACTTGTCAATACAAAGGAACTACTGACACACCCAACAAAATGAAGGAGTTCAAAATAATATGCTAATTAAGAGAAGCCATACGGCAAAGCCTATATACTGTGTATTTCCATTTATGTGAATTTCTAGAAAAGGCAAGATAAAAATGACAGAAATTAGAGTGGTGGTTGTCCTAGAACAGGGCTGGCACAGGCAACTGACCATAAAGATGGGCAAAGGAATTTTCCAGAGTAAGAGAATTGTATGAGTGTTAGGGGACAACATATAAACATTAGCCAAAAACTCACTGAACTGTACACTTAAAACAGGAGAATTTAACTGTATGTAAATTATGCCACAATAAACTTTTAAAAAGTTGGTTCAACTAGTAAATTTTAGGTTAATACTTATAAAATTTACCAGTGATAAACTTAATGACAGATTATGATTTCATTGGCAAATCAGTTACAGTTTTGGATTTCTAAATTCTTTTTTTTTTTTTTTTTTTTTTGAGACAGAGTCTTGTTCTGTCACCCAGATGGGAGTGCAGTGGCTTGATCTTGGCTCACTGCAGTCTTTGCCTCCTGTGTTCAAGCAATTCTTCTGCCTCAGCCTCTCAAGTAACTGGAATTACAGGCATGTACTACCACCCCTAGCTAATTTTTTTGAATTTTTGGTAGAGACTAGTTTTCACCATGTTGGCAAGGCTGGTTTTGAACTCCTGACCTCAAGTGATCCACTCACCTTGGCTTCCCAAAGTGCTGGGATTACAGGCATGAGCCACTGTGCCCAGCCATGGATTTCTAAATTCATAAAAGGTTTTAGGGCTACTCAGCCAGTCCATTGACTTAGTGATGACTGAAGATTTTTTTTTTGACTTTTTAATTGTGCTGAAGTGATACACATTCAAAATGCTCTTCAATTTTTAAAGAGAAGTATCCTAAGACAAAAATGAACTTTTGACTTACAAGATCTTTAATTTATAATAGGTTTGTCTGGACATAACTCCACCATACAGTGGGGAACATCTGTATATGGATTTTCAAAAAATAATTAATTTTTTTGATACAGGGATTCACTCTTGTCACTCAAGCTAGAGTGCAGAGGTGCCGTCATGGTTCACTGTGGCCTTGACATCCTGGGTTCAAGAAATCCTCCTACCTAAGCCTCCTGAGTAGCTAGAGCTATGGGTGTAGACAATCACACCTGTTTAATTTTTATATTTTTCGTAGAGATGGGATCTCCTTATGTTGCCCAGGGTGGTCTTGAACTTTGAGGCTCAAGCAATCCTTCCTCCCACCTTGGCCTCTGTGCTCAGACTATATATAGTATTTTTATTTTCATTTTGTGAGTCTTACTCTGTCACCCAGTCTGGAGTACAGCAGCAGCATGATCATGGTTCATTGCAGCTTCAGCCTCCTGGGCTCAGGAGATCTTCCCACTTCAGCCTCCCGAGTAGCTGGGACTACAGGTGTGGGCTGGCACACCCAGCTAATTTTTGTGTTTTTTTAATAGAGAAGGAGTTTTGCCAAGTTGCCCAGGCTAGTCTCAAACTCCTGAGCTCAAGCCATCCACCTGCCACACCTCCCAAAGTGCTGGGATTACAGGTGTGCGCCACCATGTCCGGCCATATTTTTAAATGTAGTGTGCATTTCCACATTTTTGAAATTTCTAGTTCAAAACAGCTTCTCCCAAGGCTCCCTATTTCTGACTCTAGGCTCAATCCATAAAAGATCAACGATATAACCATATACCTGACTTCAGGTAAAGGGGGCCACCAATACAGCAGTATAGTTATCCTTAAAGTATAAAGAATGTATAAAATTTAGATTCTATATAATGATGAGTCCTTCCGTGTAGAACAAAATTGAGATATTAAATGAAATTATTTCAGGATTTAGTCGCAGGCAGATCCCTCCTCCTCTCAGTCAACTGTTCAGTTTCCTAACTTCATAGTATTATATAATCTCTGAGCCATCTGCCAGTAAGATCCCCAACTGGCAACACAGCAGCTTCAGACAGGGGTAATCCCAGCTTCACTTCAGGCACCTTTATTTTAAGCCCCTATCATCTTATTTATGTTCACATATAACTGCTCTCTAGCTTTGCCTAATGTACGATATTCCCCTTCCTTTTATAAAAGGTGAAGACTCATGCTGGCATTTGAAATACTGATTGCTTGTTCTCCCCTACGAATTTAATAGATTCCCTTGATATTTTATTTATTTATTTATTTTTGGGAGACAGGGTCTTGCTCTGTCACCCAGGCTGGAGTGCAGTGGCATGATGTTGGCTCGCTGAAACCTCTTTTTCCCAGGTTCAAGGGATTCTCCTGCCCTAGCCTCCCAAGTAGCTGGGACTACAGGCACATGCCACCCATGCTCAGCTAATTTTTGTATTTTTAGTAGAGACGGTGTTTCACCATGTTGGCCAAGCTGGTTTCGAGCTCCTGACCCTGGGTAATCTGCCCGCCTTGGCCTCCCAAAGTGCTGGGATTACAGGCGTGAGCCACTGTGCCTGACCTGAGATATTATTTAAATCTTCATCTATAATAATAATTTCTTTTAATAGCATTTCTAAACATTTCCTCATTGCTAAATGAGAAAAAGATATATAATTTTTGAAATTTCCTCAACGTAAGCCTACTTCAAAGTTGGTGACTATTTACCCAGAAGAATACAGATGATTCCCAACTTAAGATGGTTCGACTTGGGATTTTTCAACTTTACAAGGGTGCAAAGGTGATATACATTCAGAATGCTCTACTTCAAATACACATACAACTATTCTGTTTTTCATTTTTAGTACAGAATTCAATATTTAACACTCTGTCATAAAGTAGGATTTGTGTTGGATAACTTTGCCCAACTATAGGCTAATGTGTGTTCTGACCACATTTATGATAGGCTAGGCTAAGCTATAATGTTCCATAAGTCTGGTATATTAAATGCATTTTAGACTTACAATATTTTCAATTTACAATGGGTTTACAAGGAGCATCTGTACTAACAAATATTTAGCAGCAACATTATACATAAAATACAACTGCTCTGTTTTAAAACAAAAGATCAAATATAAGTTATGAAAATAATTTTGCCAAGATTAAATACTTACACATCAGCCAAAACTATCCGCGTCCGTGTCACATTCTCTATGGTGAATTTGGTTTTTCCTCCTTTGCCAGCAATTCTTCCTATTGCCCTGGATAGATGGTCTCCCTTTAAGGGTTTAACTAAACAAGAAAAGCAAGACCTCAGGAGGTAAATCATTCCAGTGCACCACCCACTTCCACATAAAGTTTAATCATAAACTATATTTCCCTTAATAACACAAGTATATATATATTTATTTTATTTTTTTGAGTTGCAGTCTTGCACTGTTGCCGGCTAGAGTGCAGTGGCACTATCTTGGCTCACTGCAACTTCTGCCTCCCGGGTTCAAGCAATTCCCCTGCCTCAGCCTCCCGAGTAGCTGGGATAACAGGTGGGTGTCCAGCTAATTTTTCTATTTTTAGTAGAGATGGGGTTTCACCATGTTGGCCAGGATGGTCTTGAACTCTTGACCTCATGATCTGCCCGCCTCGGCCTTCCAAAGTGCTGGGATTACAGGCATGAGCCACCACACCTGGCCAGTATACATGTTTTTAAAAGTTGCTAAAAATACAGCTTAAGTGATGCTATTAGAAAACTGAGAGTCGCCGGGCGCGGTGGCTCAAGCCTGTAACCCCAGCACTTTGGGAGGCCGAGGCGGGTGGATCACGAGGTCGAAAGATCGAGACCATCCTGGTCAACATGGTGAAACCCCGTCTCTATTAAAAATACAAAAAACTAGCTGGGCGTGGTGGTGCATGCCTGTAATCCCAGCTACTTAGGAGGCTGAGGCAGGAGAATTGCCTGAGCCCAGGAGGCGGAGGTTGCGGTGAGCCGAGATCGCGCCATTGCACTCCAGCCTGGGTAACAAGAGCGAAACTCCGTCTCAAAAAAAAAAAAAAAGAAAACTGAGAGTCACATCACAATAAAAAGTTAGCAACACAAGACACAGCATTTCACAGGAAAAGACTACCACATACTCACCATCTGTAATTTCAAAAGACTCTAGGAAGAGGTCATCCAACCTTATGAGGGCAAGTGCATCCTATAATATAAATACAAACACTGTGAAGCCCCTTCCATTTACACGCCTGAGAAAAAGTCAAGTGCAAAGCTCTATGGAACTAAAATCCATACACTCTAGAGCTAGAAAGCTATTTTTTTTTTTTTTTTTGGAGACAAGAGTCTTGCTCTGTTGCCCAGGGTGGAGTGCAGTGCTGTGATCTCAGCTCACTGCAACCTCTGCCTCCCGGGTTCAAGCAATTTTCCCACCTCAGCCTCCCAAGCAGGTGGGACCACAGGCATGTACCACCATACCCGGCTAAATTTTTTGTATTTTCTAGGGAATGATAGAAAGTGTGACAAAAAGAAAAAAAAAAAAAAAAGAAGAAGAAGAAGAAAGAAGAAAAATAAACTTTTTGTATTTTCAGTAGAGAAAGGGTATTACCATGTTGACTAGGCTGGTTTCGAACTCCTGGCCTCCCAAAGTGCTGGGATTACAGGTGTAAGCCACTGCACCTGGCCTATTTTATTTTTTTCAATGCCTAATCCATTGAAATGTTCACACTGAGTATTTTTCAAGTCCTCATTTTAGATGTCATGGAATTACTCACCTCCACCTGAAAGCCAAGAATAAAGGCTTTCACAAAATCAGCTGCTTTTGTCAGAGCGCTAACATCCTTGGTTTCTTTACAAGTCTGTTAAAAAACAAAAAAGGTATAAAATACAGTTGAAAATCAAACAGAAAATGTTCTAACAAAATACTAGAAATGTCCTTTCCCATTATTAGAGAATTTCCTTCACCACCACCTTCTCCCAATATATTCTGTATGACACAGGTTCTGGTGGGGTAAGTGCAATATTTCATTTGCAAAACAAGACCTTTCCAGCTCCAAAGCTTGGCCGTTCCACCCAAAGAGTGTCAAATAACTAACTGCACTATATGGTCAGATTTTGGGGTTAACAGCACACACTGACAGGGGAAATCAAGAATGATTGAAGTACTGATCCTGTCATCAAAGTTTATTTGATAAATGCAGAAATAACTGTCATTCATAAAATGCCTACCATTGTAAATAACATGTACTATAAATAATACGCTTTATATACCATAACTCTAACCTTCACAAAAACCTGGAATGTTAAGTGATACAAATACCTTCATATAAGAGGAAACGAAAGTACTGGAAACCAAAAATAGGTAAGATTCAAACACAGGTCTGACTCTAAAACCATTATTTCCACTATCCCATACACATCCACAATCTAGTTGAGCACACCACATATTCAACAAATTTAAAACCATATGGGCTTGTGTAATGGGAAAGTCCCCGAGGCTTTCACATTTAAAACTAGACTCTAGTTCCAATCCTATATGTGACCTTAGGCAAGTCCCATAGATACTTCAGGTCTTGAGTTTTCTCATTAGTGAAATAAAGAGGTCAGAGTGGAAGACCCTGAGTGTTCTCTACTAGTATAATAGAAAGTTTCCCTTATTAGCTCTTATTATTCCCTTGTTAGATATTTCCCTTATTAGTTTATTGGCCAAGTTTCCTCAAATCTTTAAGACGGGAATATCCTGAAGACTAAATAATGTAGAGCATGCTGCAATATCACTGTGTGTCTGGTACATGGCAGCATTAACAAATGTTAGTGGAATCCAAAGTGATGATTCTGCAATAAATAGGACAGTGAAGCACATGAAAAGTTTAGGCACTGAAGATATGACTGAAAAATGGATATACCATAACAGAGAAAGAACTTGAGGTAGATCCGGAAAGATACTGGCACTGAAATAGAAAGAGAAAAGAGTAGGGAAGAGAGCACCTCCTTCAAAGGACAAAGCCATCAAAAAGTATGGACGTAAAAAAAATGGTAAGAGACAAATTTGTGACTGGATCTCCTACTTGAAAGGCAACTTAAGTCAGAAACTGTTTCCTTTAGAAATGTTGAAGATGCCAAGATGTCAAAATAAAAGCATTGTGGTCTGGGAAAATTAATCTGGCACTGGCAGACTGATGAGTTGAGAAAGGAGAGACTTAAAACAATGAAGTAAGGGAAACCGACAAGGAAACAGGACTCCTTGGCAGGAAACCATTAAAGCCTGAATGAGAGGGAATGGAAACAGGGACAAAGAGGAGTTACTCTGTCTTGTTCTGTGATATTTTAAACTTTATCAACTATTTAGAATAGTGCCTCTTTGTTTCATTATTATATTTCATTAACAGAGATGAGACTATACCAGTCCTGATGATGGTATCAGAATCCTTAAAAAAGGAAAATATAATTAATTTTGGTTATCGATTCTGGCATGAAATTGGTACCCTAAAAAGAAAGCCCAAAGTAAATTAATTTTAAATGTCTATTTCCTGGATTGACAGCATAGAAATTAAAATACATATATATAGGCCGGGCATGGTGGGTCACACCTGTAATCCCAGCACTTTGGGAGGCCGAAGCGGGCAGATCACCTGAGGTCAGGCGTTCGAGACCAGCCTGACCAACCCCATCTCTACTAAAAGTACAAAAAAAATTAGCCAGGTGTGGTGGCGGGCGCCTGTTATCACTAAGCCAAGATCTTGCCACTGCATTCCAGCCTGGTCAAGCTAAATAAAATATGTAGATATGTGTATGTATGTGTGTATATGTATATATATATATAGTGTATGTGTGTCTGATCATGTGTATATATGTATATTTATATATTTTTTATATATTTATTTTAAATATATTTTATATATATTTATATTTACATATAAATATATATCATATATGTATATATACATTTTAAATTCCATGCTGTCAATTGATAACCAAAATTATATTTTCCTTTTTAAGGATTCTGATACCATCATCAGGACTGGTATAGTATGATCATACATATATGTATAGTGTGTATGTTTGTGTGTGTGTGTGTGTGTGTGTGTGTGTATGTGTGTATATATATATGATGATACATGTATGTGTGTATATATATGTATCATATATATATATACACACATACACACACACACACGTCATACACATATATATGAATAATCTGTGGCTTTTTTTTTTTTGAGACAGGGTCTCACTCTGTTATCCAGCCTGGAGTGCTGTGGTATAAACACACACACACCCACATATATATACACACTTATATACATATTATGTATACATATTATATATGAATATATGTGTGTATATATATGTGTTACATATTATACGTGTGTATATACACATATATACATATATATGTATATTATACGTGTGCATATATATACACATTATATGTATATAATATATACATATTACCCTATTTCTACATTCCTTGATTTCAAGTTAAAGTGTATCTGAAGTCCCAAATGTTCCACAACAGGAGTAAATATCTTCATATAATATTATATATGTATATATATGTATATATATGCACACATATAATACGTATATATATACACATATATGTACACACACGTATGTGTATATACACACACACATATGTACATGTTTCTTATCAAAACACATTTTAAAACCAAGAGCACCATTAAAATACAGTCATGCACTGCATAATGACATTTTGATCAATGACCAACTGCTCACACCATGGTGGTCTCATTACAGTATAATGAAGACTATACAGAAACCGTTATATGCTCACACCATGGTGGTCTCATTACAGTATAATGAAGACTATACAGAAACCGTTATATGGCACTGAATATTGGCAATGCAGATCAAGTAGGTGAAATAACTGATATTCAGTAATGGTACTGGGACATGTGGTTTTCCATATTAAAAAAATATATAAATAAATATACCACCTACATTTGTGTTAAGTACACTCTATAATGTTTGCACTAGGATTAAGTCATCTAACAAAACGTATCTCAGAACATATCCCTGATGCTGACGGTATATACTTCTTACAAAGCATCAAGTATTTATGTCCATTGTTTACTTACTTCTATTTATGACAATCTCTTTACTCAACCTTTTCTCAATTGGACATACATTATAAAAGATATACAGAAGCAGAACCAGTATTTTGGTATGATCTCAGAACTAACTTACAAATTCAACTAATATTTGTATCAAATGCAGATTTTGAAGGCATTTGGGATGTTCAAACTCAATATAGTAAATTTTTAAACTGGACAAAAACCATTTAACAGAATACGTCCCATTAAGCAAAGTCTATTCAAGCCTTTTCATCTCTGTAGAAGAGAAAGCCTGGTGTACTGGGAAATGACTGAGATTCTCCTTACCCTGATTTCTACATTCCTTGATTTCAAGTTAAAGCGTATCTGAAGTCCCAAATGTTCCACAATAGGAGTAAATATCTTCATCCAGTTTTCTTTTAATGGTGTGTATCTGTTAGCTGGGACTGGAATTCTCCTTGTTTCTTCTTTCCCACTCTGTAATAAAAGAACACACAACTCAGGAAACTATGGAGGGATGGTGATGGAGTTGTAAAATGACATTTGATCCACAAAGGGCTTCCTTTAACTGAACTAGTTACACTTCAGAGAATCACTTCTTTCAGCAAAACAGCCCCCCGCAGCTTCAACATAGCCCAGAGGCCACCGGCCAGACTGGCCTCTGGCCCTTTCCTCGTCGCTGTCCCACGGTCCCAGCCACATACCAGGAGCCCATCGCCGCAGAGGGGCGGGAAGACGGGCCTCTTCGCCGGCCTGGCCTCTTCTGTGTCCATACGGCCTGCATCCCCGCCCTCTCCCGCTGCGGACAGCTGTTCAGCCTGCCGTTTCTTCGCCCGCCGGCCACCCTTGCGGGTGACCTGGGTAAAGCCCTCCTCTGCCACGGCGCTCTGCGCTTCCATTTCGGATTCCAACCCTGGGATTCTTAAAGCACTTCCGACTGAAACACGTGCGCTGCTACACTGCGCAGGAGCCAGCCTCCACCAACCACCCCCGCAGCTCCGCCCCTTTCCTAAAACGCCACAGGCCGGGGACCTGCAGGATTCGGGGGCGGGGTGGAAAGAGTGTGTAGGCTGTCCTAAGATACGCCTGATGCTCATCGTCTCACTCCAGCCACGCCGCTCACCGCCCAAGTATTTTGTAATCTCTAATATGTATTTGTGCTACAGGCAGTGGGTAAAGGCGATAAACACATTCGTTTTGTTGTGTTACATTCTGCGCGATCGCAGGCGCGCATCTGGCATTATCTGGAGACAACTACAGCCAACTTTCTAGAGCATCTGGGGTAGAGTACGGAAAGCAGGAGGGACAAATTGCCTATGTTTGCAGTCCGGTTTCCAGGTTGGTGTTTTGGGGGGCTCTGGGTGTGGCGGTTGCCGGAGCTGAAATCGGCTGGACCATGTCGGCCTTCGAGAAGCCTCAGATTATCGCCCATATCCAGAAGGGCTTCAACTACACGGTGTTTGACTGTAAGTGGGTGCCCTGCAGCGCCAAATTTGTGACCATGGGCAACTTCGCACGGGGCACCGGCGTCATTCAGCTGTACGAGATCCAGCACGGGGACCTGAAGCTGCTTCGGGAGGTGGGTGCCGGGTCAAGCATCTGGACTGACATTGGGGGCAAATGTCTGCATTTCCCTTTGCCAGGGCCTTTGTCCAGCGTCCCCGCAAAGCACAGCTTGAGCCGCGCGAGACCAGAGAAGCTGACCGCCGACTGAGGAATGTTTCCTATTTAAAATGTTTATGCTCATCCGCGGGCTAGTTCCTCCGCGCCCAACCCTCCTGCCACTCCCAGTGCAGTCCGGCCAAAGCGGGCATCAGGATGCCTGCAGTATAGTTGGAAGAGGCACCCTAACACATTCGACAGGTATCAGTTGAGTGCCTGGTATTCCCAGGCATGTCAGTGGCAATGTCCCCGATCTCATGGAGTTTATTTTCTAGTGGGAGAGATACTCAGTTCAGTAATCAAAGCAATGATACGAAAACACAAACTGAGATGACTTGTCTCACACAAAGCAACACGGTAACGGTTCTCTGAGAGTGAAAACAGATTTGGGATGAGTAAAAACAGATTTTGGTATGTGCAGAAACCAACTAGGCCAAACAAGGAGTAAAGGACAAGGTTTCCAGAGCTTTCTGCTCAGTGATGGGAGGAAGTTTATCTCCTTAAGAAACTAGAGGGGTAAGCAAGAACCAGATATTACAAGATCTGTAGGACATTGAAAGGATTTATGCCTTTTTTCTAAGAAAAATGGAAAACGATTGAAAGGATTTAAGCAGGGTGTGGAAAGATTAGGTTTATAAGTTGATTGCTAGCGAAAGAATTAGAGAATAATAATCACTAGCATTTTATAGCTGTTTATAGTTTTTAAACATTCTTGACTTAGGTTACCTGAAAGAAAAAAAAAATCAGTCATAATCAGATCAGAGTTGTAATAGATTACAAGTGCAGGGAAGGTTAAGAACTCTGGGGATCAAAATTTATGGAGAGAATCGGCTTGGAGGTAGGGACTACACTGATAGATAAGGGATGAATACAGTTGTTTGGACTGTTAAGCCTAGAATAGAAAGTATGTAAGACCCCATCCCACTTGGAATTTCCCTGAATAACAAACATGAAACATGGCCTATTCCTTTTTACCTTTCCTTATATTGTTCATTACTCTTAGCGTCCAGTAACCTGTGGCTTTTTTTTTTTTTTTTTTTTTTTTTTTTGAGACAGGGTCTCGCTCTGTCACCCAGCCTAGAGTGCTGTGGTGCAAACACAGCTCACTGTGACCTCCACCTCTCTGGCTCAAGGGATCCTCCCACCTCAGCCTCCAGAGTAGCTGGGACTACAGGTGTGTGCCACCACACCTAGCTAATTTTTTTGTACCTTTTTTTTTTTTTTTTTTTTTTTTTTTTTTTTTTGGTAGAGATGGGGTTTCACTATGTTGCCCAGGCTGGTGTCCACCTCCTGGGCTCAAGCAGCCTGCCCGCCTCGGCCTCTCAAAATGCTGGGATTACAAGAGTGAGCCACCACACCCGGCCACCTGTTGCTATTCTAATGTGTAGTTCAGATTATCTAATTTATGATGTCCTTCCTGATTTCTACACAAAGTAAAATTTATTTGTATTGCATTTGGGGTTGTTTTTGTTTTTTATTGTTGTTTTCTTTTTTTTAGAGATGGCGTAGTTCTGTCACTCAGTCTGGACTGCAGTCGTATTGTCATAGCTCACTATAGCCTAGAAATCTTGGGCTCAAACCATCCTCCTGCCTCTGCCTCCCAAAGTGCTGGATCAGGTGTGAGCCACCATTAAAAAGAAAAGGCATTTAAAGGATTTTCATTTTTTATTTCGTTTTGAGACGGAGTCTTGCTCTGTTGCCCAAGCTGGAGTGCAATGGCACGATCTCAGCTCATTGTATTCTCTGCCTCCCAGGTTCAAACTATTCTGCCTCAGTCTCCCTAGTAGCTGGGATTACAGGCGCCTGCCACCATGCCCAGCTAAATTTTTTTTGTATTTTTAGTAGAGATAGGGTTTCACCATGTTGGTCAGGCTGGTCTCGAACGCCTGACCTCAGGTGATCCACCCGCCTCAGCCTCCCAGAGTGCTGGAATTATAGACTTGAGCCACTGCGTCTGGCCATTCATTCCTTTTTCAAAGAAAATGGGACATGATTGAAATTTGTCTTTTTCTTTCTTTTTTTTTTTTTTTTTTTTGAGACAGGTTCTCACTCTTGCCTAGGATGGAGTACAGTGGCAGGATCAGGGCTCAGACTTGTGACTTTTTAAAATAAGAATAGGCCTCGTGCAGTGGCTATGTCTGTAATCCCAACACTTTGGGAGGCAGAGGGGTGGATTGCTTGAGCCCAGGAGTTCAAGACCAGCCGGGGCAACAAGGTGAAACCCCGTCTCTACTTTTTGTATAAAAAATAAATAAAAATTAGCTGGGCATAGTGACATGTGCCTGTAGTCCCAGCTACTTAGGAGGCTGTGGTGGGAGGATCTCTTGAACCCAGAAGGTCAAGGCTGTAGTGAGCCATGATTGCACCACTGCACTTCAGCCTGGGTGACAGAGAAAGACCCTGCCTCAAAAAAATAATAAAATAAGAATATATGATTTGTACACATTTCAAAAGTACACTTACTTCATCAAGTGGAGTAGAGTGCTTTGTCTTTCGTAGAGATGCTAGGGAATTTCAGCAAATTTTAAAAAGATAATTTTCTCTTGTAGCAAAAGTAATATGTATTTATGATAGAACATTTAAAAAATTATGATAGGAAAATGAAGAAAATATCACTCATAATCTCAGTGCCAGGAATAACCACTACGTGTATTTTCACCTGGATCCTTTGGGTCTTTTTTTTTTTCTACCATGAATAGTCTGAGAACACACTATTTCAAGGTACTGTGTTTAACAAGGACCAAAGATATTTAAAAGTTGAGTCCTTTCTCCTAAGGAGCCTACTGTCCAAGAAGAGGATAAAACTAATGCAAGAATACGTTTAAGAACTTATATTGTGTTTGGCTGCTCTGGCGAAATGGAAAAGAATATAGGTTAAATATTGGTCCAGTAACTCCCACTCTTTACTGTGCATCAGGATCATATGAGTGCATTTTCTGCTGTGTGTGTGTGTGTGTGTGTGTGTGTGTGTGTGTGTGTGTTTTAAAACATTTGTGCCTTGGTCCCACCCTTAGAAATTCTGACACAGTGGTACATATTTGTTGCATCTAGAGTAAGGTTTAGAGATTAGAATTTTTTTTAAACTTTTGCAAGGTGATTCTAAGGAGTCTCAAGGCTGAGAACTATTGAGCTAGATGGGTCATTTATGAAAATACTAGGAAACAGACTTGATTTATCATTATAGAACTACCACTAAGTCACGTGCTCCAAAGCTCACGCATCTTTGTTCTTTTTTTTTTTTTTTTTTTTAACTTATCACTCACTTGGAGCTCACAAAGCCTGTGCATCTAAGAAAAGAAAAGTAAAGGAAGCATATCAGTCTTTGTCGAAGTCTTTATCTTAGTTCTAAAAGGATAGACAAGGAATGGAGGGCAGGGCCTCCATGTACAGTTGAGCAGTTTTTTGCACCACACAAAGGTGTCTGTCTGGCTGAGTGATCAAATGTGAGCTAAAAGCTCTTTTTCCTTCATCAAGGCTTACATGTGTAAGACTTCATCGGCCTATAAAGGGCATCTTTTTTCTAATTGGTACAAAGATGCCATATGGAGTAGGGATGGCCCTGAAAAATGGAATCACAGTTGTAGATGTTTATATTATAAAAAATAGCAATAAACTAATGAAATTTGCTTTTTTAGCCCCTGTGCTACTGAATTTACTGCCTGTTAGCATTTGGTTGGCTAGATCTTTTAATGTTAATTAAGTAGTGCCAGGATGTGGAGGAGGAAATACTGACAAGCTGTACTAGACCCACCCACATATGGAATAAAAATAGCTCTCACAGGAATTATTGATCTTGAGCTTCTTTAATCATTTTTACTTCTTATTGTAGCAAAGAAAATGAACAGCCAGGTCATTTATGACCATCATTGATGGTCATTTTCAGTATCATATAGCAAAAATTGTTAGTATCTACTGATTTTCTTTGTTGAACAATTTTTGCAAGATAGAGCTTCATTTTTTAGCCATTTTTAGCCAATTAGTTTTCTAGCAAGAAAAATTTTGAGTAACCACCAACTTCTTTTCATCTTTCCTTTTCCATAGATACAGTATCTAACGGGGCTAAGAGGGAACCCTTTGGTGAACTGTGAAAAATTAACTTTTACTAGTGACCTCTTAATTTAGCTGCCATTATCATTTCCATGAATATCAAAGGAAAGAAGAAACATCCCTGCTTTTGTAAGTCCATTTGGCAACAGAGCTCAGCCCTTCTGAGCAAAGTTCAGTCCTTAGTGCACACAAATGATAAATGTTAGTATGTTTAATATATTCATAATACGTTTAATATGTTCAAAATATAAAATTTGAGTTTAATTTGGTTCTTGCACAGCAGACCACTAGTATCTATAAA